TTGACGCTGAAGCTGAGCCATGATGTAGTGGGAAAATGTTGTTTGTTTTGGGGGAAGGAGGGGGGAGGGGGGGGGGTTTGTGGCGACATTGTCACAAGCACCTGCATTTATCTCTGTGCTTAAAAATTGCCGGTTGCAGTGAGATCAGAAGGCAGTAGAGTGTGTTATTTGTCGCTCAGAGGATAAAAAGCAAAACTGTCGCTTTTTATTTCTGAGAGCCGTGGAGTCTTTGTGTGACTAAACCGTCGCCGGTTTGTGACTGTGACCTTGAGTTTATGCGCAGAATGTACCCCATTGTGGGCGGTGCATTGTGGCTGTTGATGGTAATCGGCATGGGTGCCAAGCATCTAAGGTTTATCATATTGGCCCAAATAAAACAACACTGATTATGAGACACCTGTTTTTCTTTTCCTCCAAAAATCAGTCATTGGAAAAACAGTGCTTGATGTTACAACACACTATTTCTGTGGGAAAAGTTTCCCTGAGGTGCCATTAATCCAAGGAGAATAGGGTCATCATCCTTGAAAGTGTTTCTCTAGTAAATGTGAAACATGACATAATACTTCTGAAGCATGAATTTGTGTAACCAAGTCTATCCGCCCACATACTGCAGACTTTCTCTCCTGTCAGGCTCTTGGAAGCAGTCAAAATTATTTTTTTCCCGGCAGATTTTTTTTCTTTTTGAGCTCCTCATCGGCTGTGACTGCTCTAATTCTCAGCTGCCTGACGAATGACTTGGGCCATGGTCCGTTTCTGCAGTAAAGACGCCTGGAGACGCTTTGAACTCGTTTTTTTAGTAGACGATCGATCCGTTGCCGATAGAACCCGGACGGTTTTCAGCAGATGGCCATGGGCCGTGACCAGCTGGTTCAGCGTGAGGGAAGAAAACATAAAGCCCACAATTTGGTCCAACTGCAAGTCCAAAATCAGCCATGGAAGAACAACCTTAAAAACATTTGTAAGAACTAACTTAATCAGTCACTTCTTATATTGTAGTGTAATAATAATCGCAGTGACCAGCTGATCTGCCGACAGCACAGGGTCTCTCTCCAGCAAAGCCCTGCTTACAATGGAGCTAACAGCTTAGATCAATGGAGGTTATGATGCGTTCAAGCTGTAGTCAGTAAAAATTGGTATTAAGCGAAGGTAAATTATGAAGCTATCATGATGTGTTCAAGTGAAATCTAGTAAAATGTAGTTTTTAGCGAAAAAATTGAATAACAGCAGTACTCTCTTTATTCAAAACGAATAGCTGATGATATGACGTATCACGTAGCTGACTAGTCCTAGAAGACACCCTCATTTTTTTCAAAATATGTCATCTCATATTCGGGCCATTAAGGTACATTTAAGTGTGAAAAATGTATATGTGCATTTCTGTTTGTAAATTGTCCCAGTCTACACATCTCAATCTGTCCATGCTCTGCAGGAAATATTCTAATAATAAGTACGGCTGGCTTTTTATCCTGAGCCCCTATTCCTTCTCCCGCAATTTATCTCCACATTGTACAACCATACCTCATTAACAGCTCTTAATTGGCTGTTGGGCTAAGCTGGAAACAATGAAGCATTGATTTCCCTCAACATAATCACCTCATCCAGTCATTTAATGGCTGCTGTCACTGTGGGCCGCCAAGAGAAAAATTACCAGTTAGTGGTCCCATCGATGCCCTTCACCTCCCCTCATCAAAGGGTAGAGTGCACAGCCACCCACTCCATCTTAGCAGGTTGGTTTAACCCCTTTAGCTGCCTGACAGGCTCCAAGCACTGCATCCATCACAACCTGCAGTCGTGTCTCAAGTTGTTGTGATCCCGTATCACAACATAATGCACACACAGCTACTATTGTTCACTTGAGCGTGTCAGCAGAAGATATACATTATGGAATGCCACAAACTATCGTATGCGTAAATACACATACAAACAAACACAGAAGCGCACACACACACACACACACAAAGCCACGGATAATGGATGGTCATTTACCTCAACCCGAGCTCACAGCTACTAAAATTAAATGATGTCTCGTAGAGTGGCCATTTGTCGTCAAAGTGGCTCTGGTGACTGGCCCGGCAGAGTCATTGTGGAGCCATTTACACTGCTTCCTCTTCCACGTACCAGATGGTTTGTAGCAACCGCGCCTAATGTCCACCTGGTTGATGGCTGGACCTCGACTCATGGCTGATACCCACGCAAGCATTTGCGTATGCAAGTGTGAGTGTGTATTAGGGATACTAATCTGATGGCAATAATTATAATAATCATCATAATGATCATAGTTCTGTCCAAATTACTTGTATTCAGTCAATGTCCAAAAGTGAAATCACTTTTGTCATTTGTATAAGCTTAACCCCCATAAACCTTGTATACTCTACTATATAACTGATGATCATTTTTGCAAATTGTAGTACATTTGTGTAGAGCAGATTGTTGAATGTGCCGGAAGGCCAACCATCAGTTTTGATTTCTTTCAGTAAACGTTGAAAATCAACAAGTATATCAAGCAACTCAATACTTGCTGGTGGTTATCATTGATCTGTTTTTTTTTTGCTTCGAGTTGTTATTATTATTATTATAACCTTTTTTCTAATTCTGTGTGGGAATATGTGTACCTCATGCTGAATCCTCCCGCCTTCCCTTTGTGGTGGGCTTCCTTCAAAACTACAGCAAGTCTATAACCACGAACCTGCCTTATGATTCATTTAATCCTCAGTCTTCTCTGCAAAAGTTTTACACTACTTCCTGTACAACTTTTGGAATGGAACAAGGCTGTCGTGCAGAAGAGGAAGTTGCACTCAAATCAGTTGATTGACTATTTGTTTGTGTGTCATTGGTTCATTGGTCCTCCGTCTGTTCTGCTATCAGCTGTCTAGTGACATCCAATCTTATTCATATAAGTTTACCTTCATAAACTGTCAGTTTCCAATATAACTCGTATAATATCCTCAGTTTCTTTGAGAGCTCTCTCAAAAAGAACTGAGTTGTTGGCCAAATCTTACTGTGTAATGAATGGTCAATTTGTGGACTGAAGTGCCTCTGACTAAAATGGTGAAGACACACAACTTTAAAGGTACTCAAACTTGGTTCTGTAGCTTAAGTCCCTTTTGAGGAAACAAATCCAAAAGTCACCCATCAGAACGCATTACATCATTAGTGATACTAATGATATTTATGAAAGGGGTTTCCCTTTGCTGTCCCTTGTTTGTTAAACCTCTGTTGTCCAAAATCAGGCTTTGAAGCTAGCTGAGGGGATTCAACCCAATTTAGTATTCTGTGTTGCAACGTAAAGTCCTCACTTATTCAGAGATCTGCTTTGACTTGAAAGCAAGTCTGCAGGTCAGGAAGCTGTCGGTGAAATATTGAACAAGCCAACACATTGTGGGGTTTGGGGTTTTAGGTTTTAGCACACTCGGGGGATTTTTCGCCCAACATTTATAGTCTGTGTTCTGCCTCCTCCTGCCCAGAAATATCTGACAACAAGCGCTGAGAGAGTGACATTAATACTGCACGACGGCACGGTCCAGCAGGACTGCAAATGTTTGCCTTTTAATCCAGGACTCGGCGGCCTTTGGTCTGGCCACAGCAGACATTGATGGGAATGGGAGAAGAAAACTATTGCCAAACTTATCTCAGCTACTGGGAGCTCAGCTCCGTAATTCATGACCTGAGCCAATTCAAACATTTGCACAACCACCCCAGCTAGAGAAACACACACACTGGTTGTTGTCATGCCAGCGGAAGCAAATGCGTCTTCTCGACGCAAAAGGATGTCCTCTTTAAAACTTGGTACGGCCGATTGAAATGAGGCACAAACAAGATGGAATTTGGCATTTGGTTGTCTCCCCCTTCTTCTTGCACTCTATCCCCTATATATTCTGTAGATTGGAGAGGTTGAGTCCAACCCTCCTCCCCTCCTCTCATCTCCTCTTCTGTGTCCGGGGATGAGCTCTAGTTTAATTGTTGGACGCTGGTGTCTGTTGCAGTAGCTGTCAGAGAAAGATAAAGAGTTTTTCCTGGGGCGCAAGAAAAAGGGGAGAGCGGTGATGGAGGGCCTCTCTCCTGCAGCTCCGCTGGCTGCATTAGCCCCACGCTTTATAATTGTGTGAAGGGGGCACTTCCAGTGGCTCCCTCATTACTCACTGGCATGGCCAGTCCCTGGCAGCCAGACACACCTTGTCCTCTGGCTCTGGCTCTCTCTGCCTCTCTCTCTCTCTCTCTCTGCCTGTCTCGCTCATTTCAAGATGTCCCTCCGCTCCATCACCGCCCCCCTCCCTCCCATGGGCAATCCTCCCTATTGTTATTTTGACCCAGTACCGCCAACGGCGCCTTTCCCCTTCTCTTTTCACAGAATTTTTTTGACATCCCCCTTTGTCACACTGGGACCTATTGTACAGCATTTGCTCTGACTGATGTCACCCATGCTTTGGAGTTAATGCTTTAGTGTATTATAGCCTAAGCCTGCATTGCCTCTGTCATGGCACTCAAAAGGTGGCTAAGTCAATGACTGAGGCCTATGACTGCCAGGTCTTCCCTGGCGAAGCGTAGACAAAAGTTTCATCCTCTTTCAATCATACTGACGACATATGAAATACATCAAGGGTGCAAAGGCAGCCATATTAATACATAGCAAGTGCATGAGGTGATCTTTGTCGTAGGCTGATTGGTATGGAGTGAGAACAGCCAGCAGTGAGTGAGAGGCAATTAGATGACATAATTGAGATGCCTCGAGGGCCAATTTGTTACACATACTTACAGCGAAAGAGCCCAATGACTGTACTGCAGCGTGCCTCATGATGTGATGTGAGGCAGTCGAGTTCCTCTAAGCCCATGCTTCATTCACACTATTGTTGCTTATTTGGATTTTTGATGTACAGTCCGTTAATGAAAAGCTGCAGGAACATTGTGGTTGCATCAGTTCCTTTTCAGGGATATGTTTAGTCTCGCATTAATCTCTCACATGTACTGACCGTGTACCACTGTGTCTGTCTATCTGTCCGCAGAGGGAGGTACATGTGAGGTGATCGCCGCCCACCGATGCTGTAACAAGAATCGCATTGAGGAGCGCTCTCAGACAGTCAAGTGCTCCTGTTTACCGGGGAAAGTGGCCGGGACGACACGGAACAAACCCTCCTGTGTGGATGGTGAGGAAGTCTTGTTTGTTTTAACATTGTACCCAGTATGCTTACTAGGAATGATGTACACATTACGACCATTAGCCGACTAGGCGATTAGCCCGTTTGATTCTTATGCAAGAGGCCAGAGTTTAATCAGGATTCACATTTTTATTTACTGTAACCATTACCTGATTATTCGCCAGTACTACAGTCTTTCCCTAACCCTAACCGTACCTTGGCTACCATGCACAGATATAGTAGAAATTTTAAAGATATTGGCACTAGATGTAAATAGAAAAGTGTAGTTTATAGGGAAGGGTCACCCTATCAACAATACATATTTAACTCGTACCATTTATCAATCTAGATTGTTTTGCCGTGAGTTGCCGAGTGTTGGAAGATATCAGCAGAAGAGATGTCTTCTTCTCTAGAAAATAAAGGGACTATATGGCACTTGGATTGTGGTGTTTAAAGTACAAAAAAAATACATTTCAAAAACTCAACACAATGTTTCTTCCCAGAAATCATGACCCTGTTACTCAAGATAGTCCCATATTTACGAGAAGGCAGACTCTCTACTGTCGATATCTCCAAAACTAGGCCACTCACACAAACACAATCTACAGTATATTGATAAATAGCACTACAGGTAAGAGGGAAAATATGTATTTTTGATTTGAGGGTGAACGGTCCTTTTAAGGTAATTCAGAGTATTGCAGGATCATTCAATATTAAAGGTTATTTTTTTCAGATTTATCGAGTAGTTAGTAACTCTACAGTGCATACATTTCTTTAATGAACACTTTGCATAATCTTTGTATGAAAACAATTGTATTCATGTGAAATGAATACTTGCAATGAATTAATGAAAACAATAAATAGGACACTGTTATGAACTCAAATTAGGTTATTACTTAATTGGTGTTAACAAAGTTTTATTGAAAAGAAGACCATCTAAATAATTGTTACCTAATGTGTAATAAAATACGAATGAGAATATAGTAAGACATCCTTGACTTCTATATGAGACTAAGGAAAAGAAACCCGAGAGAGTTTCCATGTAAGCAAACTGGAGTTCACTGTATATACTATATATATATATATATATATATATATATATATATATATATATATATATAGTTTCATTATAGTATTACTATGATTATCAATGCATTATTGAACAATTACATAGAATATTACTCATTCTGCCAAACTGCAGCCGTCTACATGACATGTGCGTATATATAGATGTACAGATGTTACATGTCAGATACAGAAGAAGACTCCAAGGTGAGAATAGCATCAGGTTTGAATGAATTATGCTTGAATTAACACCTCAGACAACGACCTACAGCATATTCCAAAGTACCTTCCTCTGCTGTCTCAGTGATTTTTCGAATAAAAAAAAAAATACATTCAACCTGAACCCAGTGCTGTGCTGCTGGGCATCATGGGAGTTTAAGGATGAAGGCAGTTGGGCTGTTGAACACCTGAGCAGGGAACACATTGCAGATCACATCACCGAAGGCAGTTCAGGCTGATGGAAATGAATAACTAATAAACACAAGTCAGGGAAGCTTCAGGCTAGTGCACCTGAATTACTTCAGCTGAGGAAAAACAATCAGGCAGAGGCGTCTCCATGGGAGGAAAAAAAAGCCAATAGGAAGTCACAAATCTACTGAGACAGAACTGCGATGCTCCCTTCACACCAGGAAGCTCATTTATTGCTCCTCAGTCTCGATCTTTACACCACCACCTTCAGCAGAGATCAAAGTCATCTCTCCGACTGCCCTCTCGCCATGAAGTGACACTAAAATATCTTCATTAGGGGGGGATGTTACATGAACGGCCAGACAGGTCTGCTCAGTGGGCTTCACAGGGTTGGTTAGGCACAGCTGATACTCAAGAGAATCCTACAATATAAATTGGATATGTGCAGAGGATGACACACATGAAAAAAAAACATTCTCCCTGTTTGATGAAAAATAACCATAAACCCTACAAAACTTCAGCGGTGAACAGTAACATTTTTAGTCCTTGAGACATTTTGTACGAAAAAAGAATGCGTTTGCCCTGTGGTTGGACACATGAATGAAACATTTACAGAGCTCTGGCCTTGAGATGCAGATATGTTAGCAGACTGTGTTGTCCTTGTGCAGACAACCAGACACTCATCCACAGCACCTTACAGACAAGGGACTTTTAAAGCGTCCACATTCACTCAGATTTCAGTAACCATTGCTGAAGACAAACTTAAAAAATAAAAACCCTGAAAACCTTCACATCAAATTGAGACATTTTCTTGCCCACAACTAGAAATTGCACCTCAGCCATTAAAGGAATACATCACCCTCTTGAAGGCGCACTACTTATCCATGCAAGTACCGTTTATGTAGATGTGTTTTCAATAGTACGATTTTAGCAAAAATGCATGTATTCGGAAAGTAGTGAGCATAATGCAAGAGTTGTGTGAAAGCTTATAAATGGATGTTTTTATATAGTTTTGCTTTTGTTAAACGTGGCCCCCATTTACTGTTATTCATCAAGAATCCCCCCCCTCCGTTTTTGGATTCGTCGGCCACCAGAAAGGCATGCAAGAATTCAAGGTGAGACGGTGTGAGTGATACATATACAAATAATAATTTTGGGGCTGATGTATTCCTTTAAGATGAAAAGCAACAGTAAAAGTTACCAGTATAAGTAGGACAAAGATATAGCAATGAAAAACACCATTTGAGGAATGGAGGTGGAGAAGTAGGAGTATGTGGTTAACACTTCATGCCTTTATGCTTCAGGCCCTCGCAGTGAGAGAGTCCTTGCTGTGTATTGATTAACAAGCACTTATAGAGGGAATGGTGATACAAATGGAAATGACAAGTCACTGAGCAGCAAGCTACAGTATTGAGCACCATGATGCCACACTGAAAGAGCTAAGAGGACCTGACCTCTTAATGATTTTATTTCCTTTAGTTGGGGGCTTCGCATCGTCTCTTGGATCATTTTCACCTGCTTGGAAGTGAATCAGGCTGTTATTTATTTAACGATGAAACCACCACGGGATAAGGGCTGAAGGGCAGACGGCATAATAATGTTATTATTCATAAGAGCTCATCTGTAGTCGGAGGTGTCGCGCTTTGCAAACATGCCATTTAATTAAAAGATCTTTTTTTAGCAAGTGTGGAAATAAATGGACACAGGAGGAGGGGACCACTCAGTTCGAGAGGTTTTGATTGTCTAGGAAAGGTGCACCAGAAAGCTGGACGTGTTTATCAACTGGGCCCCGCGGGCCGCCGTTGCACCATGTGACGGATCATAGACTTGTGGAGTCAGTGGTCTGTCCCCTCAGCGGCACACCAGCCTGGCCCAGATGGAGCTTTCTCCCCAGGTCCCGGCGTTATTAATGTACCGTCCAGATGAGGAACGATGCTGCAGCCCAGCTCATCTCGCCGCACCCCTGGGGGACACCTGTCGCCCCCTGCACCATACACAGGTTATGTTCCCACAAACAAACACAAAACAAAAAAAAGAATTGCCAGTGCTCCGATATCAAAAGCGTGTCTTCAGAGGTCATTTGATTTGGACACACATACAGAGCCTGCAGGAATGAACACTCCTTTATCTTTGGCCAAATTTGTAGAAACAGGCAGTCTCCCTGATGTGCCGTATTATCGTTCATTAGCATCAAACTGCAACTTCAAAGCACACAGCGAGGAGCGAGCCCATTGTCGAGTGTTTACTACCTCGAGATTACGGGCCTCGTGGGGTTGTTGCAGTTGCTATTGGTAACTGTTTGGGCTGTTATTAATACATGAGGATGCGACGACAGCTTGCGTTGGGCGGTGGGGGTCTGCTGTCAGATTATCCCTCTAGTGGGAATTGATTATTAGCTTTGACAAGGAGAACTATGTCCCAGATATGTCAGGGCCAACGAGGCTCTTGGTGAAGAACATCACTTTTAACAAGTCAAACACTCATATCTCTCCAGCCTCGCCGGGCCGATCACATGCACTTGGATTAGGCGCTCGTCACTGCACCACTGCCTTTATCCTAGTGTATGAGACATGCAAGCCCTCCGCCGCAGTGTGGACCAACACACACAAAGACACACACTCACACACAAACTCATTTACCCAACGCACACTTGCAGATGCCCTAATACACGCACATGCTACCACTTTGTGTTGTCATGTAGCTGCTGTAGCAGTAAACTCTTTCGACAAGAGATGCACGCAAATGCCCGCTCGCTGCTGATCACTGATGGGGAATGAACCCTTCTGTTTGGCTGCGGGCACGTATAGCCAAGCATGACAGGTTGTCATGGTACATTTGAGATACGTCCGAGGGGGGGGGGGGAGGAAACACATGGACGCCACTTGAGGGGAGAAACCAGAGGTGCTGCGGTTCTTCCACATATATACTGGTCAAGCAGATGCTGTCAGAATATCATAAGCATGCAAGAGTTAATGTGCACAGACTGACACAGTCTTTAAAACATGTTTTTTTACATTACAAGGCCACCATTATTATTAGGGGGGAATGTAGTTCATCAAACGAAACCTTGTCGTTACATGCGTTCTGTGCATAAATACATATCTGATCTGCAAGAGTTTATTCATCACGGTACGTGCTTGCATGGACAGCCGAGTCTAAACTGATGGCACCCAAGCACAGTCAAGCAAACATCTCATCCTCCTGTTATAAAAACCCTGCCCCCCGACAGTTTACCTTTCATATTGGTCTACAGTCCCCCTGCTACTATATGTGGCTGGCTGACAAAACCTTCTGCAGTTACTGCCTGAGGGGATGGACAGAAAGAGCACATTATACTGTACAATAGAAAATAATTGCTCGTTTCTCTTACAGACAAACACATGCAGGCATAAGGAGAGACTGAAAAAGAGTGAAATCCTCCTGGGTCACAAAAGATGTTTGTGTCTTCGGAGAAAGTCCGAGATAATGATTGTGAAGCAGGATTTCTCCTCCATTTTTTTCACGTCCCACTGAGCTCTCACAGACAATGTGATTAGACTCTCAACCTTTGACCTGCCAGGAGAAGATCTGACCCTCAGCTGGAGTCAAAGGTCTCCTTAATGTTGTTTTTTTTCTCTCCTTATTTCTGTCTCTATTTTTTATTTTTTTTTGAAGCAACATCACATTTCCTTTCTGCTGTCACCACTCGAGTAGCCCGTCTACAGTTGTGCTGAGAGAGAAGTAAAGAAACACAAGGCAGATATATGTCAGCTGTGTGGGAGATACACTTTTATAAATGGCTTTTAAAGGAAAGGAAATAACCACCCAACAAAAGGACTCATTGTTCAACCATTAATAGACACGCACCTACACGCCAACGTCCACAGGCTCATGGCTGCTCAAAATGCACACAGACACACTGAGACACACTCGTAAAGGAATCATTGGATACTTTTGATACTCTACAGTTTTCAATACAACAATATTAATAGCAAACGCCACATGTACGTTTTAGCAATTTTAAGAATTACTCCACATGCTGTCTTTGCCTCACGACTGACAGTATTTTCGGCATTATCTGTCTGTATGTGTAACTGTACATTCCAGATTTACCGAAATTAATCTGAGGACATTTCTAAGACTTCATTTGAATTAACAAACAAAAAACATGCTGAAAACAATGAAATGATTCTTAAAGCCTGCAGGTGTCCATTACATATTCAGAAAAGCAGTGTGATTAGAAAGCCAAATGGTAATTCCTGAACAGCTAATCAAACCTCTGCTCTCTGGTCTCTGAGAGGGTCGAGGATTGATGCAGAATAATGACTCTCTGAAGCTGACCTCGGATTCAGGGGTTCAAGTCTCAGTCCCACTCTAATTACACACTTGCTCCATTTGCTTCACGCTCCTGTGACCCTTTCAATACTTCACCGTTCTTGCACTCATACCCCTGTCTCATTAGGATGGAATTGTGTTTTCTATTCTCATCAAGCGGTTCACTGTAACTCCTCTTGCCTACTTGCTTGATTATGTGACTGAGGGATTGATTGATGGGCTTTGTTTGGTTAATAACTGGGTGATACATCGGTGCACTGATGCAGAGCGATCAGGTAAAGGGTAGAGAGACAAAAGGACTTTCTGGTAGTAGAGACAGATGACCTGAATGAGTCAGTGGATGAGAAGACGTGAAGCTGGTTGTTAAATGTGACCTTCCGGGAAGCACTGACCGTGCGAACTTTAAATTTAACCAAACAAAATGGCATGAGAATTCAGAGTCCCGTTGCTTTCTGCTCCAGATCTTGGCTGACTTAAGTGACTCGCCAAAAGATAGACACTAAGGCTGACATCATTGGAATATCCATCATTTCACTATGATTAATTTAAGTCCAGTGAGCACAGTGCAGGCCGCTCCAAGTTAAAAAGCATTAACTATTCATTCAGTCCACAGATTCACAATTTTGACACAGACAGAAATGAATTCACCTCCTCATCAGTCAAGGTGTTCCAACATTCTGCTACCTGGCAGCGACGTGTCAGCGAGTTCAATCCATCACAGTGCGCGCTCACCTGTGATCTGACAGATGCACTTGTAAAAAGGTCCATTGCTTCATGTTTTTCAATCAATTCAAGTCCCACTCTCGGGTTGTTTGTCCATCAAAGCCCAAGACTCCAGCCTGCTACATGGCTAACATCTTGAATAAAACACTCTCTCCGTCCTTGTTTTTGGATTATTTCAGAGCCCATCTGTCATCTTTGACAGAATACAGCAGCTACTCTATGGCAACGCGTGGGGATCGTGTTAATTGGTGTTGGTGCTTTAAATCACACCAAAGGCTTTCAGCTTGTAAACAGATCGATCTGAAAATTAATAGTCGATCCAACGGGGTTAGTTGGGACAATTGCCCCCCTCTCATGCACTGACCAGCAGACACAAAGGAGGAGTCAAGTTTGCTGATGTTGGAACAAAGGTTGCACCCTGTGTGCTGACGGTGGCACTGGGAGTAGTTAAAGCAAAATGACTGTTGGAGGTCAGTGGTCACCAGAGAGCGATGCATGGATCTCGGCCCGGAAATGGCTCATCTCCAGTGGTCAAGGTCAGAGCCAGATGTCCTGGCCCGGGTACAGCCACGGACATGAAGCATGTGTGTTCACATTAGGCTCTTCTCCCTGATTCAACAATATCGAACAAGACTTTAATATCGGTCATCATAGAAATAAATAATGAACATAGGAAATGACACTATGAGAACCTATCCAGGCCCGTGTAATGCAGATGTTTCCTAGACTCTCCTTGTATAAATGATCTATGCTTCATGCACACACATTACAGGGAACATAGGGTGAGAGGTGAATTCACTTCTGTGAAGTAAATATCATTCAGCTTTCATGCAAAGCGGCTCTCATGTTTCCGCAACTCCTGTGAGGCACCTCCTGCTCTTGCTTCCTCTTCTTCTCCCTTTTTTCTCTCTGGCTCCATTTGAAGGGATTGATTTTTTGCTTTGCAGGTATCACTTTACCAATTTCAATTTCAAGTGGATTCTGCATTCACATTGTTGAATATTAAGCCTCCTCAGTGGGTGATATAATGAAAAACATCTTTTCCACCCCCCTCCTGCTCTGCAGCGAGAAGAAGGCGCGTAACAGAGTGGCGGTGTCGCGGCACGGCATCCTGTAAACCTGTAAACATGATTAACGGTGTGAAATGCATATTTAGCCAATGAATGGGAGGGAGAGGGGGGAAAAAAGCAAGAAAGAGGGAGCAGAGTGGAGGATGGACCAACGTGTGGTAATTAGTGGATAAGGTAAACAGCCGTGGGGGGAGCCAAAGGGCGCGTTCGCAGCTTTTTAGTGGATGTTCTCATTGTGGCGCTGAGTATCCTCGGGCTCATGGAGGGAAAAGCGAGGCAGGAAATCAGGAAATGCATCAAGTTCACTGAGCAGCAGTGGGGTGTTGTTGTGTGTCTGGTATACGTGTGTGTGTGTGTGTGTGTGTGTGTGTCTGTTCACACAGAACCACAGCATGCTCTGTGCTGTGAGGGACTGCACTTTAACAGCCTTCTTTCATCAGTTGGAGACGGCATGTCGCTCGTACTCACAATTAATTGGTGGTTGGCCTGTAACCTTGGCAACACAGGCTGGAGGGGAAATGATAGTTTTTGAGTTGGTTCAAAAAAATGGGTTTGGAAAATGAAATGACACTGCTTTAAGTAATTGCATTTACCCATTCATTTCACCTACATATCCTCCTTATGTTAACAGGACATGTTCAGAAAATGCCCCATGGCGGGGGGGTGAAGATGAGCTTTGAATTTTTCTCATTTGCTGTCAGAAACCGCATACGGACGGGCGTGAAAAACAAAAAAAGGTTCTCCACACATGAAAAAATAAATCAGACCTTGACTTTCCAAAATGGTTTAGATTTGAGCATTCTGACATAATTCAAAGAGATGTTCCCACTGCAAGACAGCTGGATTTAACAAAAAGAATAAAACATGAAAAAAATATATGAATTCATTTAGAATACATCACAACTATACGCATGTGGAAGAACAGGGAAGCACTTTTCCTCATTGATGAGTTGAACATATGGACTTGCGTATCCTGAAAGGTGTTGTTTAGCTATAATCTAAGACCTGTACTTATTTTATAAACACACACACACACACACACACATACATACATACTACACCCAGAGACATAAGTGGAGAAAGAAGAGAGGAGGGAGGGAGATCTTGAAGAGAACATATTTGTTTTTGTCAGATAGCTGGAGGAAGATTTCAGTTAAAGTTAATGAGCAATTAGTTTTGATTAAAAATGAGATTGCTCCCCTACATGCAATGTAGCTATATCAAAACAAAATAATGATTCATTTCTGTTGGTATAAGACATTATTGTCGACAGCAAAAGTACCCATGCAGCAACGATACAATTGCTCTGAGGCCGAAGAAGAAGGAAAAGATCCATTTAGAGACTCATGATATAGTGAGTGGGTGTTTGTATATGTGTGCACGTATACAAGTGTGTCTGTGTAAAATATGTAGGGTAACAGTTTTGAGTTTGTGTGGGAGGTTTCTGCATGTGTTCAACTTTTTGTGATGATTCTTTAAACTCTGGTTACTGTGTTTTTAATTGTACGTTATTATCACAGTTTATTTTCCTTTTAATGCTTATTTAAGGTTATTTTGTAATTATACCCCTTAACTTTGCTTTTTTATCTTTTTCTACCAAATTCACTAGCTTTCTTCTTCCACTCTTTGTTTGTTATATTATAGTATTATCATTATTTGTATCTGTGTGTGCATACATACAGGAATGTGTTCGCACACGTGTATCTGTGTGATAAACTAACCTGCTTTGTTGTCTGTGCTCACCTCCCACAGCGTCCATTGTGATTGGGAAATGGTGGTGTGAGATGGAGCCATGTCTGGAGGGAGAAGAGTGTAAGACTCTGCCCGACAACTCTGGATGGATGTGCTCCACTGGGAACAAAATCAAGACCACAAGAGTGAGACCTCACACACACTTACAAATGCATTTAAATGCACGCACAGACATCCACTCCCAATGCACATGTACATGTGAAACACACGCACATGGCGGTTCTGTATGCACATTTATCCCAGGCACACACTAGGGCTGCAACTAACAACTATATTGATAATCCAACTAATCTGTCAATTGTTACTTTGATTACCCTATTAATTATTATGCAATGCTCTATTACTACACATTGGAGATGCATCCATTCACCGAGAGAAATGTATCTGCACATGCATCATTCATATATATATATATATATATATATATATATATATATATATATATCTCATTATTTCACTTAAAATATATTATTATTATTATATATATTAAAATATATTATTTCACATATTTTAGCATCTCGCATATGTTAGCATCGAATGCCTTGATAAGCACTTTCAGCTTTGAAAAGTGCTTTATAAATTGTTCTTATTATGTTTATCATTATTATTATATTTGATCAGATATTGCTCAGTTTCAGTTTCAGATTTAGACCATCTCTGACTGACGGTATGAAATATTCCAAATACTCCATAACTTTGTAGACCGCTTCAACAGAATTACTTTGCTCGGCAACAGCTTGGGTCCATGTTTACTTCCTGTCAGCTGATGTCTGACCGGGCAGCTGGATACCTTGATCCATCACAAACAGACGGAAGTTATTTCTGTCCGTTGTTTCTGTCCATTACGTTTGTTCTTAAATTAGAACATGTAAATGTGCTTTGCCTTTTCCCCGCGTTATCAGTCTCTCCTTCCGACTCTTTTCAAATGCTTACTACAGAGACAGAGGAGAGCAGAGGAAGACGGCGTCATGTCCTGTAATTGGCTGGTTTACCGCCCCTATGGAGACGTTGCCACAGCGCACGTCGTGCATCATGACATGGACCCAACGAATCGATGATCAAATCTGTTTGCCAACTTTTTTTTTTTATAATTCAATCGATTAGTTGTTGCAGCCCTAATGCACACACTTGCATACATGTCCACATGCACACAGCAGCACATATTTTCACACAGTATTTGCCCAAATGCCAGAAAGACTTCCCTTCACTAGTCAACCTCCCTTGAACTGAGGAAATCACTAGAGATAACAAGAGTTTAAATACTTTGATTAAATGCTTTAGCAAAGCTTTTCTGCCAACTGCCTTCTTAATTTTTAATTAAGCTTCTGCCATTTAACAATCAAACATGCACAGAGCCAAACGTGTGGGTAAAAAAAAAAAAAAAAAAGGTGTCACACTGCATAGAGAATACTCAGAGAGTCTGTATAACAAGGTGGACTCTGTTGGGTGTAAGCAACCTATCTAAGGGCCCATAGTAGTAAAGAACAAACATAAAGCAGGCAGTAAACAAACAGGTGGGCTCTGCCTGAGGCCACACTCCTCTCAGAGATAAAGTTAACTGCCACTCTGCTTCTCCACTGCCTCCCGGCTCTGTAAACTGACTCCGAATGCGGCATGCAAAAATAATGAAGGGAGTTAAGTCCTCGAAGGAAGCAGTCCAGCACTCTGTGACAGGTTGATTACCCGATTTGTATTCATATAATTGATCCCACCACCACCCACCTGCTCGCGATCAGCAAACCCCCGTCTTCTCTTAGTGCATGGTGACAATGACTGAGAATAGAAGCGGAGGCTTAAGTGATGGTAGGGAACGTGTAAACAGCCAGTGAAGGTTAGACCACACGGGGCGTCCCAAGGCTGTTCTGCAGATTTATGTGTCCGCAGATAGACATAAAGCTTTCACTGGACCCCTTCACAGCCACCACAGGCCCAAAGTGTTCAGAGAGAAGTTGATCGAAAGGGCTCTTGCCATCCTGTGAAGGTAAGGCGCGTAGTACTTGGTTAACTCTAAAGAATGCATCTCTAATTCTCAAGTCAGTCCTTTGCACAATTTGAAATAAGTAAACTGGAAATAATGATTGCCTTTATGAAACAGATTACTATACATTGACCAAGGTTGTACATTTCTGCACACGAATGGAGGAGGAGCATTGCTACATATGAGTAAAATGGGTTTGGTCTGATATTATCAAAACCTTAAGAGGGCGAAAAAGTTCAGGCCGGAAGCTGCTTTTCTACCCAATACACACGTGTCCTTTTTTCTTGACCCTCTCTTTGCAGAATACCCAGCCATACTCCCCTTTTTAGCTTCCGGAAGCAAAATGCAGAGGATGGGTCAACAGAAATTGAGCTGCATTCTTGCTTCTGTAAAGGTTAGTCTTTTTCTCAAGCTATTCTTTGTTTTTATTTTGTTTTTTCCCGTCTCTCTCACATCACTTGTATAATGCACTTGAGTGTTGGGGCAGCAGGAGTGGGACCAACTCATGTTCAATGACTTCTCATTAACCCAAATACTCAGTGCGAAATAATCAAGTGTGTGTTTACATGCTGTGCATGATTACGCAGGCGTGACACAAATACTGAACGCACCGCCGCCCACTGTAAATATTTATCATCCGGCACAAGCATAAATAAAAAAGGAAGTTGCTGCATGTTCATACAAAACGGTGGCCCGTTTGATAAAATACATCAGCCAGTACGTAGACGGGTAAACATGCATATGCTGCAGCAGCACACTCATGGAGTACTGTAGCAACACACGCACACACACGCACACGCACACACACACACACACACACACACACACACACACACACACACACACGTCCACCGCTCAGCAGAACCCTGCTGTCTGTGAACAGTGTAATGGCAGGATCAGTCGCTCCTCCTTTCATTGCCTCCTTTGTTCCATGTCCTGTTTTCGCTATCGGCCGCTGTGTGGGCTTGATTACAGTGACTTGCTCCGTTCTGCCAATCCCATTAAGCACTAATCTGTGACATGCTACTTGCTCTTCTCTGTGTGTGTGTGGTTGTACTTATGTATGAACACATGTGTTTGATATGTCTCTTTGTTTGTTTGCGTGTACGCTCCCACATGTGCGCGACACCCCCGGGCAGGCCCTCATCCCTTTTTTTGCCGTGTGGCTCCTTATCAGAGGCCACTTGATATCCCGATCCCCCTCTGGGGGTCTTGTTGAGGCAGCTATCAGCACACAGCAAAGCTACCAATGCTACATGAAAGGCCTTTTATCCTGCACTCTGCTCCCTTTTTCAAGTCAACATTCCTCATTGACCTGCCTCTCGAGCCAAATTGCCTTATATGTGTTAGTTACGACAAAAGCCAGCAAGCACACAACACAGCATTGTTTATTTGTGTTTGTAATTCTCCGCCATTTCATATCACCTGCAGGTTTTCATTTTGCTCTAAAAAAAAGTGTCAGTGAAGCACAAAGAGGCGGGCATACACAGACATGTTTAACAGCAAACATATTTCACGACATCTTTAATAAAACATGTTTTTTTTTAATGGCGTAAGAAGCCAAGCAAAGCCAGTGCCTGACACCCGTGTTTCTTCTTTTCTTTCTCTATGTCTTTCAGAGAGGGAGCCCTTCATTGCCTGTTCTGTAGCAGCAGACAAGGCAGGCCCTTTTGTTTGTGGAAGTCACAGTGAGAGCGAGACTGGGGGAGCAACCTTCCAAAAAAAAAAAAAAACACTCGCCCACCATAGATCTGCATTACCCGCTCCGCTCGCTAAATAGATCAAACCACTCCTGCTCCCTCCAAACAATTACACTCCTTAAGAGAGACAGGCAGAACGAGTGGGCTGGGAATGAAAGCATCGTTTTTCCCCTGCTTTTGATGACAGTGAGAAGAATATTGTCCATGTGATAACCTCACTGTTAAGTGTGCTCGAGTGAATTTGAATTTGTCATCAAGGCGGGGATGTCGTAACACAGCCCACATCAGACGTTCAATGTGGCTTTTCTTTAGCTTTTTCACACTGCAACATAACTCATGTACAGTAGTTGTTTTAAGCATTTCTACTATGGAATATGTAATTGTTCAGATTAGTGAGTGCAAAGCGTTGGACTCAAGTGGATACTTCCACGCTTCACAGTGGGTCCCATTCAACTTGTCCAACATCATTTACTTGCTGTTCAGAGACCCACGTGTCCCCCATAAAAAAGGAGTGCAGGGCACTTTTTTAAGCAGAATAGCACACTGACAGGATGTAGCCCATCTGTGAGACAGTTTCAGAGCATAAGTGACCCACCAGCAGACGCATCGCCATCTAATTTGTCAAAATCGGGAGACGACACTCTGCAGTTGATCAAAATGAACTCCAAGCAGCCGTGCCACACACCGTTCAACTTCACAGAGAAATCATCTGCTCCATCACTGTGCTTGACAACACCTCTCCTCCTCCTGCAGTCCTGTACAATGTCATCGCCATGATAAAGCACACACAAATGGTCGACAGCAGTGCGTCTGGATACTTTTTTTTGAAGTCGGAGCTCCCGGGAATGGCCAGATTGACCTACTTTTGACTTGTTGTACAGGTTTAGGGGGAGAAGGAGTGCTACTCATTAATCTATCGCTATTTCTTTCTCATTGTCAATGTCACATTAAATGGATCTTGATGTATTTTGTTGTCTTGAGTCTTCTGTTTTTTTAGAGGGTGCTCTTTAGTGCTGTTTTAAGAAGGGTTTCTTAGCTGGCATGATTGATTTGTTCAGCACCAAACAAGAAAGGGGGAAAGGGGAGACCATGTTTGCACTAAATTATTTTGCTACGGCAGTTGTCCTTGGCTCCTTTTACTAACTGAAGTCTGAGTAAATTGCAATTTAATGCGGCCGGAAATTAGAATGCAGCCGGCTTAGTTGCCAGCAAAGACGGGATCGGCAGCAAATCTTTGAGCAATCCGCCGCTACCTGCTGCACTGTTCATTTTGAAGAGACAGAGGACAAAAAAGAGGGCACTTAATGTCTCACACACACACACACACACACACACACACACACACACACACACACACACGTGGGTTGAAATGACAGCATTTGCATACAACCCCTCTTCTCCCACTAACAAACCTCTGGTGGATTGGGTGTGAGATAGAGAGTGAGCCGTAATGTCTAACCTGTTGCTGCTCTTGTTCTGACAGAGGTCATTCTCTGCTCCAAAGTTTTGATATGTCGTCCTAAAGTAGATGATACAGATGAGCCCAGGGGGATTAATGTGTTTAAGGATCGGGGGGAGGAACAAATCTGCTCAGAGAAAAATGCTGGTACGAGAGCTGGAGGTGAAATCCACATGTTCAATCTGAGACTGTGAAGTTATTTAGAGCATACAAAGGAACAGCTGCTGCAACTTCCTAAATAGGCAAGATAGTCAGCAAGGGAGACTGTGTCAGTACAGCTAAGTGTTTCCTTAACATGGGGCTGCGAGACAGCTCATTTTGACATCCGTCTTAACAAGTCACTTGATCTTCAAAAAAGATTTTTCTGAAAAAAGAAACCGTAAAAAAGAAACCTGCCAGAGGTGTTCCACTTATTTCTCGTGATGCTTCCCTTGTTTCATTTACTGTCTAGCGTCCGTGTCCTCAAACAAGATACACAAAGTACTCAGCACATTCACACCTGTGCAATCCTGTAAATGTGTTATTTTAGAAACAGAAATCGTTCTAAAACATCAAAATACATAATGTAATGGTATATTAGAGAACTCTGGTCAACAGTTGTTTTTAGAATGTGCTTATTAAATACATTTGGATTGGATTTAGGGGACACGTTTTTTATTTAAGTAAAGTGCAGAAGTGGATGTGAAAATAGTGAAACATTCCTGGATCTGCACCAGAAATAATACCTGTACCTTGACCTATGACCTAACTGCACTCCTTTTACAAAGACATAAAATGTCTTGGAGGTATTGACTAACGGCCCTGATAAAACATGCTCACCTTCAAGAAGGAGAAAAGGCAGAGCTGAAAGTGTCACTTCCTTATTGGTTTTCATGAACAACTGTTGAAACAAGTGCAATCCTTTGGCAAAGAAACAGATTTATGATCTAAATGGCTTGCTTGAATTAAGACTTGTTGTAATGTCTCAAATGATTCTGTCAAATCAAAGACAGTCTCACAACAATACAACAACTGCACTGCCTTATGTTTTCAGACATGCTCGATGCTGACGCTAAATTAAACCCAAATTAAAATGCTAGCGAGTCTCATGCTTTCAAGATTGTTCTCTAAATAGTCTCAAAATAACACACCAAACACAGTAGGCAAATACAGGTGCACATAATTCTACCCAGAGAAAATGGTCGCCAACATCATTTGACTCCCTTGCCAGCATGTCCAACATATTGGAGCTCTGAGATTATTTATGTGCTGCAGCTCACAGAGTCCCGAGCAGCCCCCTCCACGACCAAATCCACACACCTGGCTGCCACCTGCCAAGCCTGCAGGAAATATCACCGCTGTATTTCTAAATTGAACAGGATTATGGGATTTCTAATTGGCCCGACGGTGTTCAGGGAACTTCAGACTTCTTCACTGTCAAATACTAAAGCGGCAACATAACGGGCAAATGTGTTGAAAAGTGAGGCGAAGGAGTATTCTGTAATAGCTTTTGCTGCCGAGACGGCCACGAGAGTGCAAGGGACTCCACTGTTGTAGACATTGTGCGCATCATTTTTAGTCAGGTTGAGCAGGAAGCTGAAAAGCAGGACATTCAGTAGCAGTCTCATGGTTGAATAAGAGTCCCAGAACCAGAGTCACAGACAAAAAGCTCAGACGCCACAGTGGGAACCCTGATCCCATTCAGCAAAGCCAAAGTCATTTTATTATGTTGGAGGAAATCCTCAGCTATGATTGGCTGGCTCAGTTTGAAGGTGCAAATGAGGGTGTGTGTGTGTGTGTGTGTGTGTGTGTGTGTGTGTGTGTGTGTGTGTGTGTGTGTGTGTGTGTGTGTGTGTGTGTGGGGGGGGGGGGGCATGTGGAGGGGATGTGACTAAAATGGTCTGAGATGCAGTCAAAAATATAAATTTGTGACTCAGACATACACAGCATGGAAACACACCAGGGTGTTTTTTGAACAAAGAGCTTCCCTGAAACAGCCCGGTATATATAAATGCCAAACACACCTCCATTGTATGTGCCGTTCACACTCGTGTAAGCGGTCTGTTTTTAGCGGCAGTGTAAACCAGGAGGTGAGACGCGGCTGTACAAAGCCCCCGCGGTTCAAAAGACTCCCCTCGTTTTTTTTTTTTGAAACACGCGAACGGTGCAATTCCTCTGGGTGTAATCCTCGCTCTCTTGTGTGCCTTTGTTCTATCTAAGTGCACGTGTGTTTTTTCTCTCCTCTCCTCTTCCCCCTCTGTGCTGCAGATTCATCCCAGGACCTAACAGAGGGCTCCCGTTGCAGGGCTGCGTGCCAGGCTCTTCCCTTCATCTACCCTTACTCTCTTCCCACCGAACGGACTAAAACTATTACATCCACGTCTACTGACTGGATTACCTGGGACCACAGAAAGGATATCCACCCAGATAAAACAGCTTTGCTCGCGTGGTGCCAAGGATTTGGAACCAGACTAATTCCCTGTTTGATCAATGAGCCCCATGTTGGTGACTCTCCTCTTCTCCGACCCTCTCTCTCTCTCTCTCTCCCTCTCTCTCTGTTTCCCTCCCTCTTTACCCCGCTGAAAAACTGAAACAGCTTAACAGGGGTTATTTAGAGGTTGTTAAAACATTATTTGAAGAAATTCGCACTGCCTGAAGGTAAACTGGTTTTAGGAGCTTACATGGACCAGAACATATGGGATCCACAGAACTGAGGGCAAACGGAGGGGGGGGAAGGATTACCTTGATTTCCTTTTATTTCTGTGCGGAAGGCATTCGTGTTGGACTCGCTGCCTGCAGCTGGACGGCCTTGCTGTGTCGACACTGAGGTTGAAAAACACTGGATTGTCAGTGACAGAGACCACTAGTAGCCTATCACGACTTGATGAAGGATCTTTGAGTGGCTCTGGGGTCCTCGCGGCCTCGCCTACAGCCTTGGCAACGGACGTTTTGACTTTTATTCGTGGGCATGCCCGATGTAAATTCATGAGCACTTCTTTTCTTTGTGTGTAAGATAATTTGTGTATAAAAACATATATAAATACATCATATATAAGATGACAGATCCAAGAAGCTGAAAAATATATTGAAGACTCGCTTGAGGCCCGTGGAGGAGTATTGATCAGCCACTGAATATACTGATCCAGAGGATGTTGTTGTCCCGGTGCGGTGTGTATAGGACTGCTTTGCAGTATACGCTTGCTTTGGAAAAAAAAAGCAGAGTCATAAAAATAAGTATTGGTCACTTTCGTCAGTCAGCAGATGTCCTTGGTTAATGCCAGACAATGCTTGTAGTTTCTGTAAAGATGAGGAAAACACTGTATAGAACTGCCTCACAAAAGAAAGCTGCACTAACAACAAGCCCTGAGCCTCCCACGCAGACACAGCAGGGACATAAAACAGCAGCAGGAAAACTTGGGGCGTAATCAGACACTTAATGTCTATTTCGGCTGTTTGTCGTGTCGATCTCCCCTCTCATGCGCCAGAGAGAGATGATGTATTTTTAAAACGACAGTGAGAAAGTATAGTCACTATTGAGAAATATACGATTATCCCCCAGTAGATATAAGTACATTACAGGACAGCCTTATGAGAAATAAAAATGGTTTTCTATACTGATATGCTGTCTCTCATTCCTTCATGTTGTTACTAATCTTTTGAAAAATACTCCTCTTATGACAATTTGATATGTTGTAATATGCGGGTGCAAGATCTTGTCAGGGTTTCACTTATATGATATGTTAACACAGAGTCTTTGCTTGAGTAAACAAGCAATCAACAACAGCACAAGGCGAGTGTGAAAATGACTTACGGGCAGACAAACACACACACACACACACACACACACACACACACACGCGCAGTGAGCACACACGCAAATCTGTGGTGCGTCATTTATACAATTCCCTTTGTGGCACAGAGGATTTATCAGAACAGCACATTCAATTCATTCATGCAATTAGAATAAAGTTTTCCAATATCGTGGCAGGCAAAATTCCAAATGATTTTCAATATCAACCTCCTGTCTCGGCTGATATGAGATTCGTCTCCTCTCCCAGCGGACGCACTAGTGTACATTCATCATTTAGGAATTTGGCTAGTTTCGTGGAGCCCTGCGCCTCGATGAGCAGTCACAGAAGGTATGAAAAAGACAGACACATCAATCTCCCGGCGGTCTTGCCAGAGTTGTGAAGGAATATGCAAAGGGATGAGGGAGCAATGGCGTGTTTTTTTCCTCCTCAATGAGCCGTTCCCGTCTTTGTTTTCTCATATCTAATAGGATTCACTGTCCTGCAGTCTTATTGAGCTGGTGTGAAAGAAAATGAGTCAGGGATTGAGTTTTTGTGTGTGTGTGTGTGTGTGTGTGTGTGTGTGTGTGTGCAAAAGTGTCTCTGGGTGCGTTTTTTGTCTCTGTAAATGAATGCATGCGAGTGTATGTGTATTTGTCAGTTTTACCATGCTTGTAAATGTATTTTTAGTGTACCCAGAGTCTGTGCGACACTGCTGTGAAGATTATCCTCAAATTCAGTGCCTGTGTAGAAAATCAAGGGATTTCTCCCTTCCTGCTTATGCAAGCTCTAAGTGGATTTTTGCTTAAAAAGGTGCTCGGGGGATCACAAATGGAAGAGATGATTTTTTTTTCGTATTCTCTTTTATGCACTCCTTTAGCTCTATCCAGATATGATGGAGTCGTGCTGTGGAGGGAGGTCCTGCTCCATTTTAGGCAGAGCAGAAAGGAACACAGCGTGAATAGATAACAGGGACCAGGTCCTCCTCCCTCTCAGCGGTGCCCTGCAATCTCAAAAAGAGAGACATCCATCAAGTCCTGCCGACCTCCCACCGAGACACAGAGACAGCCGTGTCCACATCACGCCGGAAGGCTAATCAACGCCTGACAGCAAGGACAACCTTTTTCACACAGCCAAGACGTGTGCAGGAGATGCCGGGCCGTGTTGTTTAGA